ATTGCTTTATCTATTTCTACAAGAAATGTCCTTGGGATTTTGATTGGCATTGCATTAAACCTATAGAGAACTTTGGGTAATATTGCCATTTTGATGATGTTAGTTCTTCCTATCCATGAACAGGGTATATTTTTCCATCTTCTAAGGTCTTCTTCTATTTCAAGAGAGAGAATTTTTTAATATTTATTTTTAGTTTTCGGTGGACACAACATCTTTATTTTATTTTATTTTTATGTGGTGCTGAGGATTGAACCCAGCTCCCCGCGCATGCCAGGCGAGTGCGCTACCACTTGAGCCACATCCCCAGCCCGATTCTATAACTTTTTTGTTCTGTATGTGCTTCTCATTAGAAACTAATCAAGGTGCTGCAATGGATTTGCATCTCTTTTTTTTTTTGGTGTATTCCCTCCTACATAATTCATTCTCACCTATACTTCAAATATTTTGGGTTATTTCAAAATCATTGTAAGTGAATTTGCAAGGTAACACAGTTTTCTTGCATAGGTATGATATCATATCTAGATATAATAGTTTGTTTCTAAATAGGTATTCCCTTTGTTAATTTATACATAATAGTTTTGAAGGCCTACTAGATGATTGATTGGCTTAGAAACTTGAGATACCAAATTGAAGAGATGATTCTTATCAAGGAGTTTTTAGGCAACTGACTGGTCTATGTATCTCTTTAAAACCCAGGAGTTTAAAGGATACAAATATCAGTATCTAGTGTACAGCGAGATTAGACGTGCTCAACTATGGCTTTCTGTGTACTTCATATATTCCTTAAGAATGCAAAAAAAAAGAAAACGGATTCCCTTGCCATGCCTATTTATGAATAGCATTCACTTTCTCAGCTCTTCTTGGGTGATGACCTTGAACACACACTTCTCTGGCAAATGGGAGCTGCTCTGTTTTCACACCATCAAAAGTCCAGACAGAGCAGCACCTGCCCCCTTCCTTTTCTCTTCCAAGGCCACTGTCTCTGCTGGATCCACTCTGGATTCCAGCCAAGGGCCTTGAGAACCTCTCTCTCACATGATCACTTGCTGCTATGCTCTCTGAGCAGTATTTGAGTATGTTTTATTACCTCCCATAAAAAATTAAGTTATACATCACCTCCCAGCTATTGTCCACTCCTCTACTCCCTGTCTTCCCATCCCTTGAAATTAATCAAAACCTGCTGACTGAACTTTCTCACCTCCTGTTCACTACTCTGCCTGCCACAATGTGGCTTCCACTCAAATCACTCCACTGGAATTGCTCTGACCCTATTTGCCCATGGCCACCCTGCTGCCAAGTCCAAAGGTCACATCTCAGTCTTCATCTTCCCTGATTATCAGCAGTGTCTGGTAGCAGACTGAGCTCTTCCTTGTTATTTCCTGGTTTCCATGATGCCATAGTCTCCTGGTTACCTCTTATCCTCTGGAATTTTTTGTCAGCCTCTTTTCCAGCTCCTCCTTTTCTAAAGGTGCTTAGTCTTGATTTTTTTTTTTTAATCTACTGTCTGGAGCCATAGTGCTAAACTGTGACTTTGAGCAAGTTGCCTAGCTTCTGAGAGTCTTAGTTTTATTATATATACATATATAAATAAATAAATAAATATATATATATATATATATATATATGTAAAAATGGGGGTGATAACTGTATTCTCCTTGTAGTTTTCCTAAGAAAATTAAACATTTGACATCCATAAAGTACTTAGCTTGGCACATAGTAGGTACTAAATATATACTACTTATCATTATATTTAAAATTATCATTAGGTAATCTCTTTAATCCATATGGCTTTAATAATATCTACATATCATATCCTCCAAATTCATAACTTGAAAATTAATAAATCTAACCAAACCCCTTTTTCGGCTTGAAATTCATAGATGACGGACTCTTTCATATTTTTACAAGAATTGTAAAACTTGTTTCTTAATTTTTGGTCTCTTTTTCCTGGGAGCTATTTTTTTAAACCATCATTGTCTCCTTCACTATTCCATATACAAATCTATCATCAACTTTTGTTGACTTTGTCTCCAAAATACATCTTGAACTGCCCTTTCTTGCCTCCTTTCACTGTTCTCGCCCTTCCCAAGCTGCCATCTCCTCTTATCTGAACTATAGATGGCTCTCTGAGTGGCCCCCTTGCTAGCTATACTTTACTTCAGTCTCTACAAAGCAGCCAGAGGCTAAAAGGTCCTGCATGAACTTCTCTCCTGACTCACCTCAGACTATTCTTTCCCCTCTTTTTATTTTGTTTTCTTTTATTGACTGATTGATTCAAGTGCTGAGGATGGAATCCAGGGATTCACATAATACTAAATAAGAACTCTACCACTGAACTGGACCCCAGCCCTTTTCCTTTCTTTAATTTAATTTTCCTACCTTGTAGAGCTCTTGCATATCTCAGAATTTTCACCCAAGCTCTTCCCTTTACCTAGGATTGATTTTTTTTAAACCTCTGCTCTTTCCAGGCCTGATCTCTCAACCTTTAGGAAAACTTTAAATGTCGCTTTCTTGATACTATTCTAAATTGTGGACTCAGAGCTCTGCCTTTTGCCTTCTTCACTCATCACAATTTGTAAATGTATGTGTGCTAATATGATTAACAAAACTGAAAATTCCACGCAGTATTCTTTTTTTGTCACTGATTACTGGCACAGCATCTGCCCTCAATAAATACTTAAGGAGTGAATAAATGAATGCATTAATGAATTATTGGATGCATAGACTCAGTTATTCTAAAGATGTGGTTGAAAAGGTTTTAAAAAGCCTCTTAATAACCTGTTAAGAACAAACTGTTCAGGAGATTTTTAATTTGTCTTTTTGGGTGATTCTTTTGTATCTTAGGTAATATTCAGATGAATGCTCCAAGAAAATCAGTGCGCAGAAGTGAGGAGGAGCCAAAGTGGGGCTTTAGCCGAGTTAGCTCAGGGGGCTCCTTTTCAGTGGTGGGAGTTCCAACTGGCCCCCATCCTGATGTGTTTCCACCWTGCAAAATTGTTGACTTGAAAGCTGTAAAAATGGAAGAGGAAGTGACCCTGTCTTGGACAGCACCTGGAGAAGACTTCGATCAGGGGCAGGGTACGTTTGCTGGTTTCATTATCTATTTTTCTACAGGATGGTATTTCTAATTACTGTGTCAAAGATTAGTTGGRTGAAAATAGCTTTAGGGTTTAGAGATTAAAAAGCTACAGAAAGTTGCCTTAGAAAGTCTGCTGCTCTAGAAGTGAAGAAGCAGCCCTGGTAGACTCACTGGCATTAGTCACACAGAAATCTCCACTGGGGACATAAACACCACACATGAAGGTGGCCAATTCAGCAAAACTGTGTTCTGCACTACAGAGCACATGCTTCCCAAAACTGGAAGTAACTAGTTTTCTGAAAATTCTCCAATGAATATTTATTCATGTGTTTATAAGTCAGATTTAGGGGACCATTTCCTATGACTCATGCAAACCCTGATGCATTTTCCTCTCCCACTTCTGGCCATCATTTTTGCTACAGAAGTTAAAAGCAGTTCCCAGATTGGGGTCTTTCTTGCCCATGTTTGGATGTACCTTGATGGAGTCCCTTCCACTTTCCATTTCTAAGGCCAGGGCTAACTTCCAGGCCTCCCCCCACTATATCTTTTTCCTATTTTTTTTTTAATCTGACAGTCATAACACCATTTATTRAGAAATATTTGCCACCCCATAATTAATTAGAATTTCACCTTTATCATATGTTAAATTCCTAAATATATTTGACCTACTTTAGAATATAAGTTTATTCACATACTAGTGTCAGTGTTTGAGTTCTTGAGGCATTGGTGTAGTTCTTCTGCACCACTATCTTTCAAACTTTGTATGACCATTTTTATCATTTATTTTCCATATAAGCTTTACCATAAGCTTCACTAGTTAAAGCAAGAATCAGAGACACTGTTAATAAAATCACATAAAATTTCCATAACAGCTCAGGGAAAAATAACATCTTTATTATGTTACATCTTGCTTTCAAAAAAAAACACAAGTCCTCATGCCCAGGTTTTAGTGTGGGTTTTTATGTAATGTTTTAAAATTTTGCTCTTATTCTTAATTCTTTTTATGTTGATTCCTAGACATTTTGACTTTTCCATTGCTATTCTCATTAGTCATTTTTAATAAACTAGAAAACTTCTCAAAGTGACTTAACACCTCCATTTATTCTTTTAATTTCAGCTACAAGCTATGAAATAAGAATGAGTAACAACCTACAGAGTATTCAAGATGACTTTAACAATGCCATTTTAGTAAATATGTCAAAGCTAAAACCTCAGCAAGCTGGCACCAGGGAGATGTTTACATTCTTACCCCAACTTTTCTTAAATGGACTTGAACCTGATGGAGAAACACAAGAAAGCCACAGAATTTATGTGGCTATGAGAGCAATGGATAAGAACTCCTTAAAGTCTGCTGTATCTAATGTTGCCCAGGTATCTCTGTTTATTTCTCCAAACTCTGCTCCTGTACTAGGAAGAGATTCTCTTATAATGAAAGGAGTTTTAATAGCAATAAGTTTAATAGGAATCATTTGCCTCATTATAGTTACAGCACATTATACTTTGAATAGGAAAAAGAGAGCAGACAAGAAAGAGAATGAAACAAAATTACTATGAACAAATACACAGAATACCTTCCTTTTTTGATAAAAGGCCCATGGCACTTGCATTTTGCAAATATATAACCTCAAAATAAAGTTAACATAAAACTGTATTAAAATGCATTGAGTTTTTGTATAATAGAGATATTGTTTTTACATAGTTATTACACATATTTTTGTAATAGTCATTTTGAGGGGTGAATTAGAAAACGCTTAGGCTTTAGTTATGGGAAAATGACATTAGTTATTTTTCAAGGTAGTGTCTTTAAAGGCAAAGGCAAGGGCAAAGTTGAATGAGAGTTAAGAAAAGATGGTTTTATTGAAGTGAAAAAAAAATTTCAAGTAGAGAAACAGGAGTTAGGCCTGGATTATGCAGTGTAACTGTCTGTATAAGGCACTTGTTTAGTTACTTTGATTAATCTTTCATTTTTTCTTATCTGCGCAGAGCAGGTTGCTTGTTCATGACTGACAATCAATCTACATTTTATATATATGAAGCCACTATTGTCAAGTTCTGTATCTCTTGCCATATGGTTAAAAACAATACAGATCAAATCCTACCACTAATGCTCAAAGAAATCTTTTTTCCACTGTAACTTTAAAAGGTGGTTTTTATCCTTATCTCTTCCTACTGGTTTTCTAACAAAGGTCTATTGAATTTATTGTTTATAAGTTTCTATTCCCATCAAAGCAGATTTCCAAGTTATTGCCTTGGGAACAATTGAATAAAAATGGCTATCCCTCTCATAGGATTTAAGTAAGGAATGAAAGACATTATTTTAATACATATATAGACCATACGTATACTTTTATTCTATTTCAACCTAAGAAGAGGTCAGGGGGAAGAGATTGACCTTTGGAAATGACTATCATATTCTATCCTGTGGCTAAATAAGAGTCTAGAATCCTTTCTCCATCTAGGGCAGGGAAAAAGTGCAGCACAGACCACAATGAAATAAAAATTACTTTTCATCTGACTTTACCTTCCTCTAGTTTTTAAAACAGTATTGACCAAAGAGCTTAAAATTTTATTGAATAAATATGAATAATAATGTAGAAGAGGTCTTGGTTTTATAACTAGGACCAATTAAGAATGAAAATTAGATCAGTTTGGGGTGGTAAGGAAGGAAATGTGGTGAGTTGGGACAGGAAGAGAACACCTCAGGAGAGACTCAGCAGGGATGGAGAAAAAGCAACCATCAAATCTCTCTGCCCAGGCAGCCCTGGCCTATTACCTTCTGAGTCTCATAGTGCCTAAGTCTTCAAGGAAGGAGCCTCAAGACTCTTGCAGTTCCTAGCTTTGGCAGTAAGCCCCTCCTCCCTCTATTGCTACTATACCCACGAGTATGGAATTTGCTTTTCTATGATTTTAAACAGGGCTAGTAAAATACACAGCCAGGTCTGTGGTGGGTTTCAAGTCCTCAGACATTTTTTTTTTTTATTTTACAGACAGAAAGGTAAAGAGTTAAAAAAGTTTTGTGCTGGTGAATGGCAGAGCTATACAAGGTAGAGCCAGTTTCCTGGACTTTTCCCTTGCTGTGCTTATTTAAGAAGGTATAGGAAAGATGCCAGGGTTAGGCCTTAAAATTCTTAACTATTTTAAGATCAATTAACAGGGAAGAGAACATTGCTTTAAAGTAACTTGGTTTGTCTGCTTTTCTTTTGAAAAAAGAAAAATGAACAAACATAACAGGATAGAAAGTGTGATTTCATGAAGTGGGTCAATGTAGAAAAATGCCGATTTAGAGATCCCAGCAATCAATAGGACAGAGTCATTGTAAAGGCCCTGTTGATCTTGAATAAATAATAATAATAATAATAATAATAATAATAATAATAAAATAGAGACAGAGAAGAATTGAGCCAAAGAGAATGAAGAACTGTGAACTGAAAGGGGAGACTGTAACAATACCATGCTTTCAGCAATGGACAAATCATCCAGGGAGAAAATCAGCAAAGAAACAACAAATTTAAACTTCTCCACAGCACATGGAACATCCTCAAGAACAAATCATATGTTAGTCCAAAAAGCAAGTCTTAACTAATTTGATAAGATTGAAAACATCAAGGATCTTTTTTGACCAAAATGGCAGAAAGCTAGAAATCAATAATAAAAGAAACTTCAGGAACCTTACAAATAGATGAAAACTAAACAATATTCTCTTAAATAGCCAACAAATATATGAAAAAAATTAAAAGGAAAATTTAAAAGTTTTTGAGACAAATGCAAATGTAAACATAACCTACTGAAACCCATGTAATATAGTAATATCAGCTCTAAGAAGAAATGAACTGCACTAAATGAATATCTAAAAAGAAGAAAGATCACAAATAAACCTCTGAATGTTGCACCTCAAGGAATTAGAAAAAACAAAAGCAACTCAACTCAAAAGGAAGGAAATTATAAAGTTCAGAGTAGAAACAAATGAAATAAAGCCTACAAAAACAAAAGATCAACAAAATGTAAGAGTTTTTGAAAAAAAATCAGCAAATCTTTAGCTGCACTAAGAAAAAAAATCAAAGATGTAAAAGAATACATGACAATAGTATATTAGTCCATTTTGTGCTACTAAGATGAAAGAGAATTCCTGATGCTTGGTAACTTTATTTTAAAAAATGAGGTTTATTTTGGCTGACAGTTCTGATCTAAGATTAAAGACTCACATCTTGTGACAGCCTTATTGCTGGCAGAGTCCCAAAGGAACACAGGGCATAATGTGGAAAGAAATAAGGATCAGGTGTATTTGTGTGTGTATTTCTGCTGGTCTCTCTTCCTCTTCTTATAAAGCCATCAGTATTCAATCATGAGGGCTCCATCCTGATGATCTTATCTAATTCTGTTAATCATTTCTGAAAGGCATCACCTTTAAAGACCATAATCAGATTAAGTGTCCACTTTCTTAACTCCTCACAATGGAGATAAATTTCAACACATGATCTCTTGTGAGACACAAACCACATCCAAACCACTTAAAATACACAGAATTTTTCTGATGCTACAGAAATACAAAGGATCATAGGAGAGTATTATGAACAAGTTGGATAATCCAGAAAAAAAGTCCCTGGGCATATACAACTTACCAAGATTGACCTATGAAGAAACAGGAAATCTGAACAGAATATAATGAATAAGGAAAATAATAAGTAATTGAAACTCTCTTATCAAAGTTCAAAACCTGATGACTTCACTGCTGAATTTTACCCAAATACATCAAGAACTATTGACAATTCTTCTCAAACCGTTTCCAAAAATTAAAGAGAAAGGAATACCTCCAAACTCATTCTATGAGGTCAACATTTCCCTGATCCATAAACTASACAAGAACACAAGAAAAAAAGAAAACTACAGATCAACATCTTTGATAAATATAGGTGGAAAATTCCTCAATAAAATATTAATAAACTGGCCAGTAGCACAGTAGCACATTCCTGTAAGCCCAGCAGCTTAGGAGGCTGAGACAGGAGGCTCACGAGTTCAGAGCCAGCCTCAGCAATAGTGGGGTGCTAAGCAACTCAGTGAAACCCTGTTCTAAATAAAATACAAAATAGGGCTGGGGATGTGACTCAGTAATTGAGTGCCCCTGAGTTCAATCCCTGGTACCAAAAAAAAAAAATTAATAAACTGAATTCAACAGCACATAGAAAAAGATAATTCGCCATGATCAATTAATATTCATCATAGGAATGCAAGTATGGCTCAACATACACAAATTGATAAATGTGATACATTACATTAACAGAATGAAGGACAAAAACATGATAATTCTGATAGATGCAGAAAAAGCGCTTGACAAAATTCAACATCACTTCATGATTAAAATATCTCTCAACAAATTAGACCTAGAAGGAATGTACTTTAACATAATAAAGGCCATATGTGATGATTCCACAGCTAATATCATGCTGAACAAATAAAAAGTAAAATCTTTTACTCTAATCTCTGGAAGAGAAGATGTGAGGGGAGGGGAGGGGGGATAGTAGGGGATAGGAAAGGTAGCAGAATACAACAGTTACTAATAGGGCATTATGTAAAATTGTGGATGTGTAACCTATGTGATTCTGCAATCTGCATTTGGGGTAAAAATTGGGAGTTCATGACCCACTTCAATCTAATGTATGAAATATGATATGTCAAGAGCTTTGTAATGTTGTGAACAACCAATAAAAAAATAAATAAACTGAAAAAAAAACAAAGAGGATATATATGAAGTTGGGTGGATGCCGCATTATGTGTTAAGATCTAAATACAGGAAATAGAGGCATAGGGAAGTCAGATGAGTAGTGGCTTTGTAAGGAAGGAGAGTGTAACTTCTGTATATCACAGGAAGTTGAAAAAGCATGGATCAGGCAAAAGTAGAGAAAATAAAACATGAAAGTTAGGGCCACAGATCACAGAGTACATGATGATAGAGAAGCACTCAAGGACACAGACACATATGCGTGGTGGTAAGGAGATATCTCACCCTCACGGATCAAATGAAATGGCTCTTCCATAAATCCCGTCTTCCCTTAGATTGGATAGCTCTTATCAGCAAGATGGTTCTTGGGATGGGTGGAGAGGGACCCAGATGGCAACCAATTTTATTTCCCTCTCCCTCCCATCTACAAGCTGCTGAATCTTATCATAGAATTATAGATATTTAAGTAAGATGCAATAAATAAAATCAATGTTAATTTAAAAAGCTTACTTATTTTTCTTTACTAATAGACATTTGGGCAATTCAATTTCTTGCTAATATAAAGTAAGCTTTATGGGATACTTTGTATTATAATCTTATAAACTTGTGTAAATTTGTCCCTTGTACAGTAATCTTATGCACCTCGTAGTCTATAGGGTAAATTTCTAGGAATGTTAAAGCTACACTCTTTTAATGTTTTTTTTTTTTTCCTTTTCATATCAGGGATTGAAGCCAGGGGAATTAACCACTGAGCCACATCCCCAGTCCCCCCCACCTTTTTTTGAGAGAGAGAGAGAGAGAGAGAGAGAGAAAGAGAGAGAGAGAGAATTTTTTAATA